GAGGTCCGGCGGCCTTGCTGCGGGCTCCTCCTGGGGCTGAGGTTGCGCCTGTGCCCGTGGGGGGAAGGGGAGGCTTCGCACTTGCCGCCCCTGGGCCGGCCGAGGGCTCCCCGGTGGCCTTTCCGGGAGCTCCTGGCGCTTGCTGCGAGCAGGGGTGGGGAGCGCCGGTGCCCCGCGCCCCGCTTAGCCCAGATCTCCTCCCCTCGCCTTGCGTGCCCGGGGAGCGGTGGTGTTGCGTTCTCCTTTCCTGGGAGCTTTTTCTGGCAGCTGAACGAAACTCTTACCATGCCGGTCTGTCTTCCGGGTTGTCTGTAGGCTGTGTGCAGGTAAATGAAGAGTTATTAATGAGCTCGGCTCTGCTACGAGCCTTGAGAAGCAGTGAAGTGAGCATTAGCAGACTTGGAGATGAGTTTCTGCAGTCTTGGAGAGGGCAGGGATGACTGAGAGTTAATGTCGTTGAAACTGTAACCTCACCTCTAACTGTTCGGAACTTCATTCATTTAAAAAAAAGTACTTTCCCCTTTCCTGTTCCTCCCAACCAGAAAATGCTTGGTACTTGAACTGCTTTGGTTTTTAAGGAGAAAAGCTTGTACAGACAACTTTTAGGAAGGAGGCAGCATTAGCCAATCAACAGGACCCAGTGCTCAAGTGGGAAGGAGAGGCGCATGTCCTTAAGCTGGTGACGCTTAAGCCACTAATTCTTAATGAGTTGAGGATACCGGTGAAGTTGCACTTCATTAAACAGTTGTGGCACCTCTTAATTCTGGTATACAGACAATTTTAGAGAAAGTCTACATCTTCTTGGAAAGGGCAGAAGGTAAGGAAATAACTACTACTGAGAAGGTTGTGATGGCTCTGGCAATAAAAGCAAACTTCAAATACCAGTACCGATATCACTGTTGGGTTTTTACATCCAGCACAAACTCAAGAATGATTAAAACCTCTGTTCTGTGAACCAAAGTGTTCATAGCTGCTGCTGATGCCATAACTGTACTTAACAGCCTGCTCACTTTTGTGTTCTGTAGTAGGATGTAGAACTGGATTGTGTTCAAATGTGGAAGACAGAAAAATCAAATTACTCTGATTTTAATCCCTCTTGCAATCTTCTTATGCAAGTTAAAGGTTCCTTCTGTTCATCCTGTCCTACAGCTCTTGTGGGTATACAGTGCCAGTTATGACTTCTCTGAATTGTTGTAGCAGTCGTCTGCTGCTCTGTGAAGTGCTATCTTTCTGAGCAGTTCCTGTGTGAAGGTGAAAGTTGTGTTGGTGTTTAGAAGTGGTTCAGGACGTGGAGGTTGACTTTTGCCCTTGGCAGTTCCCGGTTCCGTAGCTGCCTTTTTCTGTAGGTTTGTAATATGTTAATTACATAATTGGGGAGAAATGACTTTCTGTAGTTCTGATGGAAATTCCATGTCTTGAGGATGGGGGGGCGAGGCGAACATTGATTTAGGAGATTTTTGTTACAGTTGGGATCAGAGACTGCTTTTAAGGTAGAAATAGTGATAGAAATGCTTTATATGCTTTATAAGGAATTGTGTATGTTTTTCAGCTCTCTGTAGAGTCCAAATTGAAATGAATGGATCATAATGGCCTGTCTATTGCTGAATCGTGTGGAACAATCAGCTGATTATGTAAAACAGTGTCATAAATTGTGATCCTTTTAAAGTGGTTCTGGACTTTTATTCTTGTTTAAAAGCTGATGTGTACTTGGCCTGTCAGTTTAACTTCTTGCTGTGTGGTAGAAGCTGGAAAAGCTACTCTGCTGTGGTAGGGAGGACTTAAAATCTTGTATTAATCATGATGAAAACAGAGGGGAAATGTATTTTATCCAGCAATAAAATTACTGCATGCTGGTTCTTTCATAGTTAAAGAAATACAAGAGGAGAATTTGCTCTGCACAGTGCAGGAGGCTTAGGATGACAGAAGTCTGTCTTTTACCCTGGTCATTCTCAGACCAGCAAATAATATAACCTGTTCTAAGTCCTAAAATAGAAGAAAAAAAAAAAGTGAAAGGAAAACCAATCCTGCTTGTGGACTAGAATAGCTATGGTGATTTATGACAGTTAATGCAGCAGGGGAAACTACCTTAAAATGAAGCTTGACCAAGAAATGCCTGCCCTCTACCACTTTTCTGCAGAATCTATGAGATTTGCTCTTTCCAAGTAGGTTACTACTTGGCAGTTAATCCTGTGGTTTTAAGTGGAGTTTGAGATTTCTAAATTTGTTGGTTTAGTAATGATTCAGTTTAAAATGAACAGTTCGTATAAACTTAGCAATGCAAACTGGTTTTGTAGAGTGAAGATTGAGTGGGTTTTCTGAAAGGGATTGTTGACTCCTTATACCGTATAAGAAGTTGCTCAACTTCTGTATAGCTATTTCCATTAAATTTCAACATCACAAAATTAGGAGCTTGTCTTTCTGTCTTGTAGTGTTGCTTGGAACTGGAGCAACCAAGAAAGGTTCTCTAGAGGCAGGCTCCAAACACTGGCACACAGGAATAACCTAAAACATTGCTTTTATAGGTCTCTTAATGGAATGGTAGAGAATCCCAAAACTTATTTGACAGGATGAGTGCAACTTCTATTTTTTTTTTTTTTTAATTCCAAATCTGGGTTCCTAGGCTGAAACAGAAGCTAGTGGAAATATTTATGTTAGAAACTTGTGCTGTCCTTGTCCTGCTTTTTTGCCTTGATAAAGAGAACATCTCTTCGATGGGGTTGTTGGTACAGTTCATCTTTTGGTAGGAATTATTTATGTGAAGTTTTTGGATGTGAGTAGTAAGTTAGCGTGGTTCAAGGGTTTGTTTGCCTCTTAAAAACTGGCAGAAGTTAGTGTGCTCCCTTTTCAGTTGGTGCAATTGAAGCTTGGCGCATAAAACTTAAAGCAGGTGAGCCAGAAGCCAAATCTGGCTTCTGTCAAGCAGGCTGTAAAGGTGCTGAAGTAATAATGTCTTAAAGTTACTGCAAAGTCAGAGTGCCGTCCATCAGAGCCCTTGGAAACAGTCAAAACTAAACTTGCTTGAATTTGAGATTCCAATAGTGCTTAACTAATCAATGTGGTAGTCAGCTGTAGCTTTGAGAGTTTGGTGGTGAGAGGCAAGTTAACACTTAAGTACTAAATTTTGCTTGACCTCTGGCCTCAGCCATGTCTCATTTCACAATTAAAAAAGCCCCATTTGCCTAGCAGAAGATGTGGAGTAGGTATTCCCAGCTAAAAGTGGAGAAAACGGTGTAGCATGAATTGAGCAGTATTTTACATTTAATTACGCCTGCAGGAAACATGTATGTAACTTATGTTTCAGGATTAACTGTAAAGTCTGTTATTTTTTTCTCTTAAGTACTCAGTTTAGAAAATGTAAGATAATTATGTGGTGTTTGCAGTTTTGCTCATCTTACCTTCCGCATTACATTGGTCTTGATACTATTGAGCTAGTTTGTTGTCATTTGGTCACCCTTTAGCCAATATATTGGCTTTTTATACTGTGGAGGAAGGATCTTGCTTTTCTGAACTTAGTGTTGCTTTTTGCTCTTGGTCTACCATAAATCTTGTTTTTTCGTGGATGAGTGGTCCACGTGCAGTAAATTTAGCGGCCACCCCTGAAGTTCTGTAAAATAGAACTCTATTCCACCATATTTTAGATTCCTAGTGCTTTCCTCCCCCTTCCTACAATTACTGTATTTTATGTGAACTCTAATTTGAAGAAGGCAGCCCTGTTTTTCTGCCATACCTTATTAAAAAAAAAAAAAGCACTATGTATATCCTTGATTACTGTTCATTGACTTTGTGTCAGTGAAAACCTCTTTCTCCGAAAAAGGGGGGGGGGTACTTCCTGCTTTTTTGTACAGCTGGACTATTAAATCTCTATTGTCCTTGTGGCTGCTATAGTGGCAATCTTGCAGAATTCATGCTATGATTACTGAAATTATCTGAAGAAAAAAAATAACAGTGCAGAAGTTAAAGGAGTTATATTAGTTATGTTGTAACTTACTGAGCTTTTTACGCTTCTGGCTGCTTCCCTGCTGATTAACGTACCAGGTATATCTTGTGTATTGTGTCTGGAAGGATCACAGCACCAATAAGAGGCACCAGTGGAAGCAGAAGTGAAAGGGAGTTGTATTTAGAGTGAGTTCTTTCTCTTTGTACCTCAGATGGCCATAGTTCTTGCTTACACTTTCAGTTGAGGCTGTAGTGGAATGCTTGGGGAAAATACAAATCTCAGTATTTCTCTTAACTTTTCTGTTTGTGTTATCATTAGAAGAAAAGTAACTGAATGATAATTGAACGGGTCAAACTAATTTTTAGAGAATAAAGTAAGTATTTGGGCTCTCTTAGTATGAATTCTGACTACTTAGTCAGAGCATTGTTTATTGACATTTAATAGGTTTTTAGATGCACTTTATGTTTCTTCTGGAATGAATATTTAACTTCTGCATTTTTCAGAAGAAATCGGTTCACTCGGAAGATCCATTTAATGATGAACAACGTGAGCGGCATGAAGTAGAAATGCTAGCCAAGAAGTTCGAGGCAAAATACGTGAGTTACTGTACCTGTATGAAAATATACGAATATTTAATGGTGATAACTTATGATGCTGTAGAGATGCTAACATCAGTTTTTTTCCCTGAATAGGGTTGCTAATGTAGTGTCAAATGACTTCTGTACATTTCAGAGCTGAGTCATTATATTTCATTTAAGCAGCTTGAAGCTGCTACAGGCTTATTAGACAGGTCTGCTAAATAGATTTGTCTATAGGATGTTATAGCTTGTGAAGCTATTCTTGGAAAAGCTTCCTATATAAATACAACTGAGTAATAGATGCAGGTCGATATTCATGATAAATACCATGCCGGAGGAAGGAATTTTTATGTAATGCTGCTGTGCGCTATTGAACAGCTCTTCTGTTTGGGCTAAATACTGATGAATCTTGATGAATTTCTGACTAGTTTGTAATGCTTCCATAGGAAGTTATTGCTGAGTGAGTTTATCTTGGAGCTGCCAGCTGCCGAAAGATACTCTGCTGACTCCTGAAAGTGTAGCGTGAATGACTTGAACAACACTAGGCAGTAACATAAAGAGGCTTTCACTAATAAACAAAGGTAGAAATCAGAAAATGTTGGCTAAAACCACACCCAAACAGGTCTTTAAGAATTCATCTGGGAAGGGTTGGGTGATTAATTCTGAGCTGGCAATCAAAACTCATCATCATGCTTGGGCATGTTGATATTCTGGATTACTAATAGAGCACCTCAATAATAAAGAAGGGAAACAAGAGCAGTCATTTGTATCTTTTGCTATTAATATACATATTAAAATCTTTATTGTCTGATTTATTCGGATTTTTTTTTCTGGCAAAGGCAGATTTTGCTGAGTTCCCAGTCTATGCATTCTGTAGAAGTAATTACTATTTCGGGGCGTGTTAGCTGTCATACATAACAAAAGAAACCCTTAAACTGAAAAGAATAATTTTCCATCTTTTGGAGGGATCAACGGAACCCAATATACCCAGTGAATTGAGAAGGCAGTTCCAGAACACTGTTTGCTTTTCATTTGAATGATAAATTATTTTTTGAATGTGAGAGAAAAATGTTTCAACTGTACTTTTCTAGAAAATACATTTCCATAATACAAGTTCAGGATTTTAGAATGTCCTGAAACAAGTTGCCTAACTACAGCAGATGAAAGTAACTGTAGAGCATGTTAAAGGAATATATGTAGGAGGGAGTGGTAGTGGAAGCAATCTAATTTTACATATATGTTTATGCATACATCAAAGCTAAACATGTACATTTATGGACAAAACATGGTGTTATTAGACTTAGGAAAACTTGAGTTCAATGCTCAGTAGTCATAAAAAGGGGCAAATAGATACTTTAACTATTAGAAAGCAGTAGGTAACAAAATCCATCATTTTACAACAGTTTAAATTCATGGTGCACTTGTATCTTAATTACTATTTGCACTTCTCATTTCTTGCCTTTCTCTCTTTCTCTGCCATACCCCCAGCTCCACAAAATTCCTGGAAGGGGAACATCTTCTATATAAAGAACAACTTATTAGTTTAGGGCCACTAAGGATGGAGGGTGGCAAGGGATTAATAGTTCTTGTGTTAGATATTCCCTGTCCTTTCTCTCTTCCAATATGAGAACCATCAGTCTCTGCTTACCATCCTTGCTCAGAGGAATTGCATCTCTGTACACTGGCCCAGTACAATTGCTCATGTACTGACAACATCCAGCCATCTTCTGATTCTTGCAGTGAGACGTTTGCTCCTTAGCTTAAGCTAGAGCAGGGTTCCCATGAAGTAGATACCCGTGTTCTTCTGTTTAACAGTATTTTAGTGTAAAAGTGATCACTTCAATGAGAAAGTAGTAGAGGTTTTTTTCAGATTTGCAGGAAGCACTGTATCCTCCTTAAACTAATTAGGTATTACTTACCTATACCCATTTAAAATGGAGTAAAATAATCTTTCTAATCGTGGCACGTGTGGCAGTACTTCTGAAAAATTCGATGTGTGAAGAGCAGTCTTCCTTGAACACTTTTTACTTGTTTTCAGATAAATTCCTGTACTCATAATTAAATCAGTACAGTATTGGATATATCTTAGAGATACCAAGAAAAAGCTGATGAATAAATATAATTTTGTAAAAGAAGATCCATAAAGTTAATGTACAATTTGTTTACTTGATTATTCAGAACTTGTGCAGCAATTGCAAAAGTTTTAAACACCGGCATAAAAATCTGTTCCAAATGGTTCCCATTTTCATTTTTTTTGATTACTGTTATTTTCTAGACAAAATCAAACACCCTGCATTGTAAAAACATGGTATTGAATCTTAGACAATATTGTACATAATGTAAGAATTTTTATTTGATCAAACCAAAGGTCTGTCTAATGGGTGGTAGCATAGTTCCCTGACACTAGTAGAATGTCATACTTGAAAGTGTAACAGTTAGTGTGCATTGATATTACTTCATTGTGCCTGTCTAGCAATCTGTGGCTTAATTTCTCCCAAAGCCACAAATCTGTGTGCTTAACTACCCTTCGTGTAGCTTTCTGCCATGAATTTGCCAGATCGTTTTGAGTTCACTGAATTTCAGTGTTCCATGGCACTGAGTGCCATGATGATTATGACTTATGAAAACTTACTTTGTGTTTAATTTGATGAATTCTCTGGGCGCTCCATAGCTTCTGTATTGTAAGAAACAGTGAAATATTTGCTGTTCTTCTGCATGCTGCATGTGATTCTGATGCTATCGTCTAAATTTGGTCCTGTCATTCCCCAGCTGAAGTGTCTTAACATTCTGTTATTGCACAGAAGCAGGTTTTTTACCTTTAAACATCCTTGTTGGCTTACTGTTCCCTTTTTTTGTTCTAATTTCTTTTTTTAAATTAAAGGATATTAATGGTAGGATGCCCTGATTTATCAGTGATATAATGATGACTTCTGGTTTTGTTCTCCATTTCTTATTTTCATAAGTCCCAGTTCTTTTCTTTTTTGACCACTCTTGATTGTTGGGCAAATGTCATAGAGTTGTGTGTAATAACTACACTGCTTCCTGAGCAGTGTTAACACCTTGGGAGCACGCTGTATTTCGTCTTGTTTGCGTTGTACTTCCTCTGTGTGAGTTACCTTGATTTTATTGATAGTGAATTCAGTTGATGACTTACCATACTAAGTTCAGAGCAACTGTGAGGTCTTTCAGTGATTCTTCAGTTGTCTTATTTACTATTGTCAGTAATTTCTGTCATGTCACATCTCTTCCCCCCTCCCCCCTGCCAAACTGTTAGCCCTCTCTGTTGCTTCTAAAGAGGAATGAATACACGTTCCTTGGCAATTTCACTGATTACTTTCTTTGCCAAAATGAAATATTTATTCCTACCCTTTCTTTCCTAGCCTTAAACCAGACATTAATTTGACTGGACCATCCTTCTTATCCCATGATAGTTTCTTGTCTTTAAAGATCTTTGGACCATTTTTAAAGCATTTGAAGTACTGCTTCCTTCTACCAAAATTCTTTCCTGCTCTGGAATATATATTCTTGTGCCTGCTGGTTCTATTCTTTGTAACTTCTATTAACTTGGCCAATACAGAGATCAGGTTTACTGGTTAATAGACTGTGCTGTGGCCCTTGAAAGATTCTTCCAAAATTGGCATTGTATTTGCCACCTTCTAGTCCTGTTGGGCAAATGTTGTTTAAACACTAGGTTACATGCTACAATTAATTTGTTGAATTCATATTTGAGTTTTCTGAATATGTGCATGAGTCCTATTTGCAGCCTCAGGAACTAGACATCTTAATTTGTTTTGGTATCATGACTGCTTATGTTCTGGGACAGAACTCTTTTGAGAAAGGTGAAAAGCTTCAGTGGTAAAACTTCCCTGAACCTGCTGCACAGTAAACACTGATGCAGCTAATCCCTTCAGTTCTTCTGGTGTGGTCTTGCATCCTTAACACCTTGATCATATGGACTTTCAATACAGTTCCTTAAACATAACTGGGTAGAACCAGGCCTGAAGAAAATTCTCTAGCTATACATACAACGGTTCAGATATTTGCATATGTCTGAATACAGGTTACTATTCTAATCCTGCTTTTATTCATTCAGCTCTTATGAGACTTTTTTGTTACTAACTTTGTTCCATATCTGCACTATTTTTGTTATGAATAACAGGCAGTCAGAATGTATTGAGAATTTTTAAATTTTTTTTAATGCCCATACACTGAAATCATAGAATTGTAGAATAGCCATTGCTGCAAAAAAATTTTGGACTCTCAAACAAGGATGTTGATGGTTACTTGGGCTTAGCAAGAAATGTGGTACAGAGGTGGATTGCATTACACATTGGTGAGATCAGTAGAGGTAAAGTATAGTTAATATAGAATTCTTCAGACAGCCTGCTGGCGCCTCAGAATCATGAGAATCACATAAGCTTTTGCACTGGAGTTTAGACAGAATTCTGAAGTGCTACCTTTATTTTTCTAAGATTTTTTTTTTTCTTCTCTCATCCAAACTATTTTTTTAAAAAGAAAAAAAAATTACTGCATGTTTTGGGAACATGCAGTCATTCGGATGTTTTACCAGATGTCTGTAAGGGATGATAGGACTAATAGGAAAAGTTAGGAATACATAGCTTGGAAATCTGAGGCTTGACTATAGTTTGGAAATGGGAATTAAAAATGGAACTCACTTTTGAGGTTTTTCTCCTAGAACTATTGCATTTATTTAATTATACTTGAGAGATTCCTGTTTGCTTGCAAGAGCACATGCTTTACTTAGTTAGAAACTTGAATTCTTGCAAAATATTGTTAAAAAAGAGGTGTTCAGATGCTTACACTTCTCATAAAAGAGCAAGGATGAAACCTCCTTTGAACAATGTCTGCATACTCATTAGTAACAAGTGGGTTGTGATATTTGGCTGTCAAAACTGAAGAGACTTATTCTAAACATGCTTAGAACTGTAGAGTACAGGCAGAGAAGCTTCAGGAGCAAGTCTTGAATTCATGGAAGATCACTGGTTACCATTTAAGTGAAGGTGATGCCTTTTGGAGAATTTAATCTTTTAACGCTTTTTTTTAATTGACAATTTCGGCAATATATGGGAGTCAGAAAATTATGCCTTTTAGCCAAAGCAGATTCCCATTTGTATAACTGTAAGTTTAGATGCCCCGAATGTTTGAGCTGGGTTTGAGATTTTACTTGAATTGATTTAACAATAAAACTTTCACATGAGAAGAGTACTTACAGGTTAAAATGAAGTGTACTGTCTCCTGGAGGTAAGTGACCCCACTGTCTGTCATGCAGCTTCTGGCTTTAAGTTACTCAAATAACAATTTCATGTCCAGTCCTATCAACTGAGGAGATGGCTTTTATGTTTCAAAGGATTTTATCTTAATATGTTTTTCTTTAATTATGTCCTATGAATGCTGTAACTTCTTGAAAACTCATAGGCACCATATATGCAAGCACCAGATCAATATTTTTGTCTTTTGACTTAGGCTTCGCTTTTCTGTAGAGAAGCAATCAGTCTTGTGTGGGGAAACACTTAATTGAATGCTGGGCTATCAGTATTTTATTTTGTTATGACTCTGTTACATACTGGAAAACTTAGCATGTTCTAAATTATCCCAGTCCTATCACTAACTGTCCTATCATTACATTTTAAAGACAGAGAACAGTGAAACATCTCTAAATAGGAGATGTTAGGAAGATCTCAGTCATACAGAAACCAGGTGGCTAGTGAATACCTTTCAGGGATGATTCTGGTGAGACTATAGTAAAGCATATTTGCCAGAACTCCTTCCTATGTGAAGTTTTTATTGGTCATCTAGACCATCTTCAAGGAAGCATCCAAGAAAGCAAAACTGCTAATTCCCTGAATGACCATCCATCCAATGCCTTATGTTTTGTAGACTTTAGTACGTTGTTTCCCTGTTTCCCAAATAATGTAATGCTTGCTTTCTTTGCAGGGTGGAAAGCCCCACAAACATCGGAAGGATCGCCTGCAGGATCTAATTGATATAGGTTATGGTTATGATGAAACGGACCCTTTCATTGATAATTCTGAAGCGGTAAGTAAGCCTCATCAAAGCAGCAAGAGGAAATAGGACAATGCTTTAGTTTTTTGATAAAAAAGAAAGGTAAGGGAAAATACTTTGTGCCCATGTATAACTGGTATGGATCCAAAGGACATACTACTTCAGGAATCCAACAAGCGATTGTATTTGTAGTCTCATTCAGATATCATTATGTACTGCAAAAATTAAAAAAGCTATTGCTATACCACATAATTTTCCAGCTTTAGAAATTAAATTATTTTTATTTGTGCCCTTCATTTACTGTGGACTGAAATTACACTGTGTCTGTTTAGTTTCTTGTCCTGGCTATCTGGATTATTAGTGAATTACTGGTGTCAGATTTCCTGCATTAGATCAGGAAGCTATTCTGCTCTTAAAAACTAATAAGGCTAGGATGGTTATTCTAAACATTCACTGCATATGTCCGAAAGATTTGAGATAAAACAGCTTAGTTAAATAGCAGGATATTACAGCTTATTTTGTCTGAATAGTTTTCAGGAATGAAAACGCATCTCGAGATAAAAGAAAAAGGTATTAGTTAGGAGCAGGCAGTATCAGGGATGTCAGGAGGTTTATAAGGAGGCATTTGTAGATATCTTCGAGGCGATATGTGAAATTAGGAAAATGAGGAAAAAGCTTGGAAGAGAGAGTGGATCATATTAAAGCTTGGAGACCACCTATAATTCTCCTTTATTAGATCTCAGGAAGAACTAGGTGTACTGTTTAGTCAAGTAAAAATGAACAAAAACACCCAACAAAAACCACCTGACACTTTAGCCAGCCTTCAGTTTTCTCCACTACTGAGTGACACTGGACAAAGCAGCAACAATCTGCTGCTCTGCAGAGGAAGGAGCTAAAAGTCTTGAGTGGGCGAGGAAAGATGATAAAAAGGAGTTGTGAGAAAGCACAGAAGTGAAGTGTATTGCTTAACATACATCATGTTGAGCCTCCATTTGAATGTGGTGGTAGATCTAGGAAATTATAAAACTTTGTAAAGAGCTTCTGTGAACACTTGGGTGTGAGGTTTCTAGCATATGGATGTTGCAGTGAATATCGTTCTTAAGAACTGTGTGAAGTGCACACAAGGTGTGCTGCAGAACTGATACCTTCTTGAGCAGAAGTAGTGCAGCTGTTAACCACAGTAGATAGCAGGCTGAGCTCATCTGTGTGTGGTGTTAGCTTTTGAAGTAGGTCTGAAGGCATGCGAAAAGTGAGTTTGCTGTAGTTGCTTATTCTAGCTTGTATTAATTTGCCCTTTTTCTTGGTCTAGATTAAAATTTTAGTTGAACTTGCCAATATTAAGCTGTCGTATTGTTTTCCCTCAACTTTTGGTTGTGCTGCTGGAACAATATTGGGGTCTAAGCCTTGGTATGTCCTTTCCAAAGGTCAAGTTCTGATACTCAGCTCAGTAAGAACAGATGTGCTTCACTCCTCCTGAGAAATGACTTGAGCCTATAGCCTTCTCTGGTTTCTTGCTGTTGCTTAAGTTAACCATCCCCAGTTTTGAAATTTTATGATACAGGACACAAGCTGTATCTTGTGGGTTTTTTTCTGGATTTATTGTGACCTACCACAGATCTGATGTGTGATTTGGATAATTTTCAGGGCTCGTAGTAGGGTCTCACTATCAAAGATGTACGTGAGTCTAGCAGAGTTGAACACTCACTGGTATATTAGTACTTTTCATACTGTGCCTCCTTCTAGTGCTGTTCTTGTTACCAGCAGCAGATCCGTTAGATTTGCAGGAGCATTTACTTCTGATATCTCTTGCTAGACTCTTTGCAGGAACATACAAAAGGCAGTTGTTAGAGGACCAGATGGTTGCATCATGTGGTAGCTGTGGAAGCTACTGGGGAGAATGGTGTATTCTCTAAAGATTGCTCTCCTGAACAAATCATTATGCCTTGTGTCTGCGTTACAAATACAGACTAGTGAGAGGCCATCTCTGTTTCACTTTTATCCCCATTTCTATATAGAAAAGAAGAAAAAAAAAATGCACTGTGCGCCAGCTGCAGTCTAAGTTGCTGTTGCAGAGTAGCGTAGGAGTTAAGTTTAACAAAACCTCTCACTCCATCTCAGATGCAAATGGGAAGTGTTCAGAAAAAAAATCTACATGTCTGGTTTGCTCATCTTATGTGTGGCCAGCTATTAAATCACCATGTACCCTGACAAATGTCAGAGCCAGGCCCAGCCTGGACTGACTTACTGTTGGAAGATATACTTTCTTACACATAAAAAGCTATAATATCCTGGGCACAAGCGCTTGAAAAATGAGTATGAGTGCTTCTTGAATTGCTGCGGGATTGGTGTCCTGTTGTCTCCGTCTGTATCCCAGAAAAAAAATAATTGAAAGCTTCCTTAGAATTTTAGTCCTTTTTTTGTCACAGGTGTGAAAGACATACTGAGCTCTTTGGCACCAAAGCAGATTTATTCCATAGCTTCAGAGATACTTCCCTTCTAAAACGAGATTCTGAGGTAATGCCATGAAATATTATTCAAGAAATAAAAGCAATAAAAATCCAAACCTGTTTTTAGCAGGCCTTGTAATTGAGTTAAGGAATTCTGCTTCCTTTGGATCCATTTGAGCAATTTTGTACATGTAACATAGATGCATATATAACAAATAGCATATGTAACACAGCATTTGGGTCCAACAAGGGTCCAGGAAGGCGATTGTTCTGCTTGTTTTCTTGAAGGCAGGGATCAGGATCAAGTGCAGGGGATCTGCGAATAGCATGATTCTCAGGTAATGGAATTTAATGGGGCTGGAGTACAGACAGGTATAGGACATGCTTTTCTGGAGGAAGGTTCTTAGAAAGTGCTGATAGAAGGGAGCTCCTCCTGAGCAAAAAGACTTTTTTTTGTCAGACTCCTCAAAGGGCATTGGTACCTGCCCTGATGAAGCAGGGTAAATTTTGGGCTGCTAGTAGGCTAGATTTCTCTTGTTTATCTTCTGTGAAAATTAAAACCATGTGTTAGATTCTTACAGATTTGCTTTCATTGCTTACTCTGGAAAAAAATCAGTACTTTCCTACAGTGTAATAAGGACTTTAGCAGCATGGCTGTGTTAAGACCATCAAAGTCCTTGTGGCTACTGAACACAAAAGTAAAGGCTCTTCTGTTCAGTGGATTCAGACGTGAAGCCAACTAAAGAATATTGGAGAGGGGTTCTTGAGTATGTATTACCCTACGTGACACAGTCAATTCCTACCTCCTATCTTCCTTCAGACTTGTCTCCTCTTAGAAGTATAAGTACATAGTTACTGGTAGCTGTTTGCTTTGGATGTATCTGGTATATATGCTTCTCAGTTTTTTACTTTGCTATGCTCCTTGGAAAATTTTTAGCTGGTACTGTTTGGAAGAAGTGGCTTTTCCTCTCTGAATGCAATTGCAGGCAAGCAGGAATTCTGTGCTTCAGTCTATACAGTGGATGTTTCTGGGTTGAGCGTTTTGACTGTAGTCAGTGGGTTGTGAACTCTTCATTCCAGAAGAAAATGTAAATCAAGACCATCTTGCTATTGTTTCTAACTGCTGTTTAGTCTGATGGCAAGCCCTAATCTTTGCTTATCTTAATGGACCTCTGTGGTAGTAATACATATAATGTTCATAACCTGCAAAGAAAGCTGTCTCTCCTTAGTGTTCAACATCCACTGCTCTGATGTTGAAAATAGGTTTTGCTATAGTGTAAGCTGCCCAGAATTACATTCTTTGTGGAATGGTATTCCTGTAGATTTCTGCTTCCTCTCTATTCTTCCTGCATGCATACATAGGCATACATGTGCATATCAGCCTGGTTTGGCTGGGCTACTTGCTGTTGGGATGACCTCTAAATACTCAGTTGGTTGAATACCTTCTTGACAATGTAAGCTTTATATAGAGATTCCAGGGGAATACAGTGCTCTCTGAGCTTTTGGCTATTTAATACAGAACAAGGATCTGGAGTAATGTATGGTGCTTAGTGAAAAAGTATGCAATTTTCTCTTACTCAAAGGTAATGAGACTTGCACATCCAAAACAGACCAGCTAGCACCTTCCCCTGTGTTGGATAGATGAATGCAGAGGAAGAGCCAACCACCTAGCAATCTGTAAGAAGTGCAAGCTGTTTGAAGCAGTGATACCAGGTAGCCACACTGACAGGAACTGAAGCAAAACATGAATGCCATGAGTGATGAGAAGCATGCAGTTCAGTACTTCGGACACCCAGTACTGACATGCTGTATGTCAATATTTAACCCAGTCTACTATATTCATGGCTCCACAGCAGCCTTCTAAACATTGGTGTAAGAGGCCTGTGCTGCTGGCTAGAGAAAACTAGCCTACCAATGGTTTTTTATACACGGAAAGTTTCTCCAAAACAGGTACTTCAAAAGGAAAAACTTATTTTTCTTTAGCTACATCTTGCATCCACAGCTCAGACTGTCTTAAGACAGCCTTTCAAGGATTTTATGTTGATTCTAGTAATTCTGATCACAGTAAGAGAGTTGCTCTTTCTATCTGGGTTCCCTAGAATACTTTCCATAATTTAAGGGCTTAGTCTTTGCAAAAATTCTGTGTCGTGATACACAACTTTCATGTGTTTCCAGGATAAATTTGGTTTACTTCATCTTCTAATCTCCAGGTTTATTAAAGGTGTGATAGATCTGATGGATTGCCAGTAAGAGCATCTTGCTCAAGACTTGAATGTCTGAGATGCTTTTTCCCAGTGACAATGGTACCTATTTGGGGAATAGCAGAGCTCAATGTGCTGATGGTAATTTTTACCTTTTTTGTGGGGTTCTGGGCCAGATGTTGTTTTAAGCCAACTTGATGTTGTGCTCTCATCCTTTCTACTCCAAGGAGCTTGTTTTGTGCATAGCTATAGAGAGCAGTGTTGTTGCTTGAGAAAGAGAAATGTCTCTTAAAAAACAAAACAGAAAAACCTATCAACCCGCCAGTGTTATAGGCGTACACAGAAAAATGCTATATAGGATCCATTATTAAACATACTTTCACAT